AGTGTGTTCAGCAGCTCAGTGTCAGTGTGCAGGTCTGCAGTGTGTTCAGCAGCTCAGTAGCTCAGTGCAGGGCTGCGGTGTGTTCAGTAGCTCCATGTCAGTGTGCAGGTCTGCAGTGTGTTCAGCAGCTCAGTATCTCAGTGCAGGGCTGCAGTGTGTTCAACAGCTCAGTGTCAGAGTGTTGGGTGCAGTGTGTTCAGTAGTTTAGGAGTTGTTGGAGTTAAGCCGTTTAGTTGATAATGGACAAGGTTGGTTTTTATGTATTTGTTCTCTTTAGCGAACGTGTTGGCAATGAATTTGAGGAGCTTTAAAGAGGCGCTGAGATAGCAGGAGCTGTGTGCTGTCCCCCCTGCTGACAGAAATAATTACCGGCAGCTCTGTTTGTGTTTGATGCCCATGGAAACAAACAAAAGAGGAGAAAGGCAGCGCTAGCGTTCGTCTTGCGAGACACTGACCTGTGCTTTTAAAAAAGAGAAACTGCTCTTCATTTTAATTAAGCTTTTTCATGACAGGCAGAGGAGGAGAGACAAGAGAAGAAGTTAAAAGGGAAATCATTTTTGAAAGTTGCTGGTTTGTTCTTCTTTTCTACTCTGGTTTTGTCCTGGCTGTCGAGGGATTAGCCTCAGTGTCCCGTGTGCAGGACGCTGTGGTCCGCTCGAGACTGGGGTTCGTTCCCCAATTTTAAACCCTAGCTCCCCGTTTCCCGTGCCCTGTTAACAGCCCGGACACTCCCTCAGTCCGCAGGTTCTGCAGCAGCTGGGAGCAGCTCTCGGACCGGTCCGGTCCATTTCAGAGCAGAATTGGAATGAAACACCGGCGAGACTGCCCCGGGTGTCTGTGCTGCCCCCTCCTCGCCCTCTCCCTGACTGCTGGGGAGCCCCCTGGCTCCCGGGCCCGCCACGCTGTCTGTGCACATTCCTGCGGCGACCCGGCCCGATACGGAGCCTGTCTGCCTGGCGGGGCCGGGCATGCGGGCCCCCGGCGCCAGCGGCCTCCCTGGAATCCACCGGCAGGCCCCGCGGCTGCAGGCGTGGCCTGGCACAGCCTGGCACGGCTCGTCACGCCTGCCGGCGCCCGCGCTGGCGGTGTCTCTGCACGCTCGCAGGCGCCTCCCCTCTCCGGGGTCGTGACCTTGTGACTGAAGGCCACGCTCCTGTCAAGAGCACACAGCAGGGAGGCCCACCCGAGAGGGCCCGCCAGCCGCCCTGGGGCTCCCTGGGCCATGTTCAGGAGCTGCAGTCAGGCCTGTCCTGTCTCCAGGAGTACAGCCAGTACGTCCGATCGCTGATCCTGACAGGGCATGCGTCTCCTGTGGGACAGGACCCCACAAATGATGGGGTCCAATTAGATGAGAGACACCCCACTCCTCCAGTCAGAGCCCCCAGTGTGTCAGTGAGACACCCCACTCCTCCAGTCATCCTTCCAGTCTGCTCGTTTTAGTCGTCAGTAGCTACAAGGAACTCCGTTCTGGCACAAACCTGAAAGAGGCCAGGATATCGGCTTCAACAGCCTGGCTGGGTGGGTTATTCCAGCCTCCCACAACCCTCTGTGTGAAGGGGTGCGTCCTGGTCTCGGGATTAACCGCTGTTCCACGTAGTCCTCCTGTTCCTTCTCAATCGGTGTCTCCTTGTCTCACTAGATCTTCCTCCCTGTCCCTGTGCGTCTGTCCTGCAGGGGGGCTGGGCCCGGAGACCCGGCAGCTGCTGGCCGCCATGTCGAAGAGGAAGCCGAAGAGCGGCGGCCAGGGGGAGGAGCCCCGAGCAGACGCCCAGCCAATCGGCGTCCTCCTCTGCTTTAAGAGATACGTCTTCGACCCCCACAAGAAGATGGTGCAGTCCTGACCCCCCTCCTGCGCCCCCTCGCTGCTCGGACAGCGGAACCGCTCAGCTGGCTTCTGTGTTGACGCGTAGCGGGGGGCGTGCCGGGGTTTTTAACTTCCCCTGCGTGCACCTGCGCCTGCCCCGCCGTCCTTCAGCCCTCTGGAACCCGAGTGAAAAACACTTTCCCTGGGCTGCGCTGGTCAGGCCTCAGGAGCAGAGGTTCGAATCGCAGCTGGGGCTGTGCTGATGTACCTCAGATACCCCAGACTGCCCCAGTAATGCACCCAGCTGTGCGCCCAGGACCAGTTGCAAGTCTCTTAGCTGAAGAAATTAATAACTTAGTTACAGTCAGAAAAAGAAAAGTCAAACTGATAAATTGAGAAAAGCTTTATAGAATTGAGTGACAGATTTATCTTGGGGCTCTGAATGATCTTGGTTTGAATGATTACTTATCTGGTTTCATATTTTGCAGAGATGTTATGCAAAAAGACAAAAATTTGTGAAACTTATACTAATATAAAATAAGATCAGATCAATAAAACCCTGGGTTTGGCAAACTACAGATTGAAAAAGTGATAAAGTGAGCTGTCACTGTCGTACTCTTCCTCCCTCTCTCTCTCAGCTCTACCCACTGTCCCACACT